TGATATGATGTACTGTACTGTACTGTACTGAACTGTAATGCAGCTAGACATGCAAAAACTCCAGTGTATAATAATCTCAGTAATCTCGGTGTGTCGAAGCGTTTGTTGAGCGCCGGACAGATTAAAATTTGCAGTGCAATTCCGCAGAAATTTTCGAGACAACGATTTCGCGTTTTGTTTTCGACTACATTTTTTTCTTCTGGCCACGAATGCATGTTTTTATTTTGCCAGGAACCATAAGATATATGTTTTCTTCACAAAACGGTGGATATCAACAGAAAATAGCCAACGACGATGCTAACTTACCGTGGCCACACTACACAAAGCGAAGGATGTCCATGCTTCTGCGCTCTCTGTCACCGCGTTTGCTCCATTTTCAATCACCACGAGCTCGGAGTGATCCTCAAGCAGCCACATGTCCGGACGCGTAGCTCGACAAACTGTTGAGCTACCGACAGTCGGCTTTAAGATCGCCCTGACGTTTTGCAAATCTTCACCGGCTGTCCGTCCCCCCGTGCTGCATAATAAACTTCCAGTATCATACTTCGAAGTACGTGTTTGGGTGCTCGCTTGCCTCCCATCTGGCCCGAGACGGCAGGCCGGTCGACAGGAGAAAGATAGATTACCGAGATTGTCAAGTACTGCTTTCTCCAGTAATCGGATTATCAGTAAACTAGATTGAAGTGACGTATCATTGGAGTATGGCAGCAGGACGTGCTGAAGGCACATACTCCCAAGTTGGGACCCAACCCACGGCGTAGATAGATACTCTACTAGCACGCCGACTAAAGGCCCACTTCACTCACTTTCGAATTCACTCTCGACCTCCCAACCACCACCACCCCACCAACTAGAAATTAGAAATCATGGTCTTCACCATTATCGTCAACCTGTATGCTAAGGACGGCGTCGAGGAGCAGCTACGCGCCAAGCTGGCCGAGGCCGCGCAGACTTACTCCAAGGATGCCGGCGTTCTCGGGTGGTACCCCATGCAGAACACCAGCGACGCGCGCAAGTGGACCATCGTGGAGCGTTACGACGAGGAGAGCGTACGTATCTCGTCTATTGCTACTATTTCTTTTTTTTACATCGGTGCACTGTGGTGAAGTTACGCGACACCAGCATGAGCGGGTCTTTGATCTTTTAACTGACCGTATTCTTGTTGTTGTGGTTGTCTGCCTGGATGATTTGGTCGAATACGATTAATACTGCAATGGCACTTTGCAGAGCGTGACAAAGCACCGCGAACACCCGGACTACAAGGCATTCGCTGGAGCCTTGCTGGCGCTGCTGGAGAACGGTCAGGAAAGCCTGGATCTACACCAGTTCAAGGAACCGTAGAGCAACTACGTCCTACGACTTTGAAGAATAAGGACAGTGGGTACGCGCATCGCACTTGCCGGCACGAATGTCTTCGCGTTTGGCTAAGGCATGGCTCAACAGAACCACGACTGTAGCAGGAAGCTGGCTCTGCTTCGGTCAGCCGTCAAGCTGTCTTGTATCTCCTGCAGTTCGCGAAGATTATACGCGTTCGTGTTGCGATGAACTAGAAGCCATTATTCACTTTAACACGAATGTACTTCGACGAAAATACTATTATTAATGTACTGCAGGCCAACATCCAATATCCGGCAGGCTACAAAAGATCGCGAAACATTGTTGTTTCAAACGGCTTTGGGTATTAGTTGAATTTCGGCATAATCAAACTCAGTTTATTTTATGCTTCGACAGAAATGTATTTCGAACGTTGTGAAAGAAACTGCAATCGAAAGTGTTGAAACTTGCTTGGGTTTTTTGACGGACTTCAACCAGGGGCTTTGCTCTTGAGGCAGCAGATTGAACTGGATGGCTGCTCGTTCAATAAACGTAGAGAG